TAGCTACCTTTCAGACCCCAGGAATGGAGGCAGATTTTAATGAAAGATTACATATTTTTGTCAGGAGATCCACAAGTTCACATCTGAGTTCTTTCAGAACTCTCGGATGTATGCCATCTGGGCCTGGTGATTTATCAGTTTTTAAGTTGTCTATCAGTTGTATGACTGTAACGTAAGTCAGACACAATTTTGCTTGCTTGTTTTAAAAGGTTACTTGAATTTCTTTGGTTCAGGCTTCAAGCCTGGTAAGGCCTCAAACGCCTCACAGTGTGTGCTTAAAGAAGCTAAGAGGTGCATGGGATTTTCCCTAGAGACAAGAGATAAGAAGACGCTCAATGTCCTTGAGTGTTCACAGCTGCCTGTGCTCTTCAGTACTGGCCTGTGAGCAATTAGCCAATTAGTGCATTCCAGAGTGCTTAGCACCTGTGTGTGGGGAGTATCAGACCCTTAAAGCTGTATTTGGGTTTCGGTTCTCTCAACTCACAAATAAGTATTATGGACTATCATGGTCGCCCTGGTAACGAGCAGAAGTTGACATCACTTTGCTGGTCTGTGAGTGGCCAAAGGCCTAGGCTACTCAGAGACCCCAGTTCCTATAAAGTAAGCTTCTAGTCAGTGGCTACTTAGGGTTGTTGGGGTATTGGGCCTAGCTTGGTCAATACTCCGAAGCAACCCCACTATCTGGCACCATGACTTGATTCCACCCAGATGGGCTATGTGCTTGGAATATCTTTGTCATCTTGGACTCTTGTATTTTTGAACCTGAAACGGGTAACCTTTGCAACTGCTTTGTAAGTTTTAGCTATGCTGGTGAAGCTCAGTGTTTGTTATTTTTCCTTCACTGCCTAAGTCTTGTGTTTTAACTAAATCTGCACAATTAATGAAGAACTTATATTTTTTACTTTGTCGTGGTTTTGGACTTCTTGAACCTCAAAGGCTAAATCTATTGCCTTGGACCGTAAGCTGTTACTACTACCAAACTTTTGCCTTCGCTCAGTCTGTGGTTTACTCTGCAAGACTGACCTTTGTGTTTAAGTTCCAGAACCAGCCTGGAGACTTTGGTCTTTTTGCTCCAGACCTGTTGGGAACCAATAAATGACCTGGTGGAAGACTACCTTGTATTCTGGAGGGATTATTTAGAATTCCTTCAGTATTTTTGTAAAAGTGCTTTGTGATCTGTTCTTTGAACAACGGTCCTGCACTCGAAGGGGTCAGGCAGCCGTTACAAGGACATCCTCTCTTGTCACCTCAATCTGACTCAGGTCTTTCAATACCCCTCCCAAAATCAGCGGTTCTGGAGTGGGCAAGCACTTCTCATCTTCCACAGAGAAGACAGAGGCAAAAAATGTATTCAGCCTCTCAGCCATTTCCATACCATCCTTCAGTACTTCTTTTACCCCTTGGTCATCCAAGGGCCCCACTGCCTCCCTGGCTGGTTTCCTGCTTCTAATGTATTTGAAGAAAGTTTTATTGTTGGTCTTTATGTTTTTTGCTATATGCTCCTCATATTCCCTTTTTGCCTGCCTGATCACAGACTTGCATTTTATTTGCCAGAGCCTGTGTCCCCTTTTATCAACCTCACTGAAACTAGCTTTCCACCACTTAAAGGAATCCTTCTTACCTTTTACAGCTTCCATTACTTTGTTTGTTAACCATGCAGGCTTTTTTCTATACCTATTTGTGCCTTTCCTAACCTGCAGTATATATTTTTTCTGAGCTTCTACGATTGTAGTTTTACATAGTCTCCAAGATTCCCCAATGGTTTTGACCCTTTCTACTTCTCCTTTCAGTTTCTTCCTCACATGTCCCCTCATATCAGAGAAGTTACCCCTTTTAAAGTTAAAAGTGGTTGTGTCAGTCTTTTTGGGCAACTCACTATTTATACAAATGTTAAACTCAATAACATTATGGTTACTGTTCTCAAGCGGTGCAATCACTTTTACATCTCTCACCAGGTCTTGGGAATTACCAAATCCAGGATCGCCTCTCCCCTGGTAGGTTCCGTGACCATCTGCTCCATAGCACAGTCATTAAGAGTGTCTAGAAACTCAATCTCTTTTTCCCGACTTGAACACATATTGACCCAATCAATGTGTGGGTAGTTCAAATCACCTATTACGACACCTATTACGATCACATATTATGACAGTTATTTCGTCTAGCCGCTATCTTTAATTTATTTATTATTAATTCATTTATCGTTTTATAATCCTCCTCTATCTTTTGATCTTACCTGACAGCATTCCTGTTTCTTCACTGTCGCTGTCACTGCCCAGAACATCATTCAGTTTCTCAATATCTGCCAGAGACTGGCCATAATGGGTTAAGTCTTCCTCTTCATTAAGATTATAGATGCTCTTCTTCTCATGGCTTTTCTGCAACAAAGTCAATAAATGTATTTATGCCATCCCGGATAGAACATTTATTGTCCCAATGAAGTCCTTCTTAGCCCAATGGACATAGTTCATGCCCCTTAGAAACAGAAGTCACCATTTCTAACATCACTTCTGCTCCTCCCACCCCCAATCCTTAACTCAGCACATGACACACAGCCCCCCCCCCTACTCTGGTCACAATAGTTCTCTTGTCTGTAACTGCCTCAACTGATCCTCTCAGGTGTTCACTACAAATATTCTTTCTTATTCCTGAATTACCCCCAGAATGGTGGTAGTTACAACCCTTAGGGGCCTTCTTCAGAGGTCAAATGATTTGAGGTACAGATAAGACAAATGTTACATGTTACAATGAAATAACAAACAATAAGTTGATACTGGACCAAAAAGGAAGTTCAGCAGCAAGGTTAATAAACACAAAACAAGGATGTTTATGAAACAGACAACTACGGTGGCTCAGTCAGTAAATGGAAGGAAAAATGGGAGGGAAAATCTTGCCTCTGAGGGTGGGAAGAGGAGACAGGGGTGATACATAAATTAAGTGTCACTTTTGCTGTTGTTGGTTTTAGAAAGGAAGTTCAGCAGCAAGGTTAATAAACACAAGACAAGGATGTTTATGAAACCTTTTAGGATTAGAGTCATGTGTCTGGTGCCAAATGCACGGCTGTTGAATTAGAACATCATCCAATTCTGGTCCAGAAAATACCTATGTGACCATCTAATCAGAGCTGGAGTGTCCTCAACAAGTGGCATACACCCTCCTTCCTACTCCATTCTCTTGGTCACTACCTTCCAGGTACCAGTGGTACTTGCCATCTATTCCCTTTTGTCTTCTTTGGCTTCTTTAACAGTCACCAAATCCTATCTTGTAACTGCTGCAGGAACAACCATGAATCCCCCTTTCGTGTATCTGACTAGGCTGACATACTTAATACCCACACCCTTAAATATGCTTGAGACTGAGAACCAAAGGCCATCTCAGGCACTTTGCAAGAAAAGAATCTTGGCCATACCCAAACTGGCCAGCATTCTAAGCACATCATGTCATCCATCTTAAATCAGATTTTCTAACTCCAATCCCATGCATGTTTGCTTCAAAGTAAATTCTAGGGTGCAATGGGATTAGGGCTGTGCACAAAACAGAACGAACAAAAAAACAACGATGGATTTTTCAGATTCAGATATACTGGACCCCCCAAAATTGGGATTCCTGAAAAAACCCAAATTTCAATACCGGCACAGTATTTGGATTTGGGTTTTTTCGGAAATCCCGAATTTCTTCGGCTTCATTACAGTCAATGAAGAATCTATCTGGGGGTATCCAGGGGTCTGTTTTTTGAGGTAGAAGCACCAAAATTTCAGCATACCTTTTGGTGCCTCACTTCAAAAGATTCCCAAAGTTTCAAAAAGACTGGAACAAAGTGCCCTGCAGAACCAGTGCCACTGTGTCAATGCCGGTTCAACAGATCCAAGCAGGGTTTGTGTGTGTGCGCGCACAAACACAGCACAGACAGTGCATATACAATGTCCAACAGAACCAGTGCATGTACAGAGTGCCCAAAGGTGCCCCCATCCTCCATTGTTTTCAATGGAGAAAAAGAAAGCATTTAAGGGAAGGAACTAGCTTTTGCTGGGCACTAGTACATTGCACTGGTACGGCTCAGCACTCTGTACATGCACTGGCTTTGCTGGGTTTGGAACCCCCCTTGCTTGAATTTGTTGAGCTGTTATTGCCATAGTGGCATTGGTTCTGCTGGGCACTCTGTACATGCACTGGCTGTGCTAGGCTTGCAAACCCCCCTCCCCGCCTTGGACTTGTTGAGCTGGCATTGCCACAGTGGCACAGGTTCTGCAAAATGTCCTTCAGTTTCTACTGGTTTGACAACAGTCCCTGCTTTTTTTGCTGTTTTTCCTCCTCCATTGGAAATAATGGGGGCACCTTCTTTGGGGGCCCATAGAATTGGACCCCTTTTTGAGTAGAGGCACCAGAAGCTATGCTGAAAATCTGGTGCCTCTACCTCAAAAAAACAGCCCCCCCCAGCCACCTGCATACCCCTGGATAGATTCCCCATTATAGCCTATGGGGATCATTGACTATAACGGTCTCCATAGGCTATAATGGAATCGAAGGAATTTAAAGGCATTGCAGTCCCTTTAAATGTGTTCATGAAGCTCCAGCTTCACCCAGAATGGCATTTAAAGGGAGTGCACTCTCTTTAAATGCCATTTAATTGTATCCTGTTTTCCCAGATAATCCCTTTTTCCCCCCAGGACTATTCGGGATTGTCTGTGCTCGATAGCTGAAAATATAACCTCTATATCTGGCTGAACAAATGGCCGATAAATGCTGATAAGGTATTTTCTGGCTATTTTTTTGGCTTGGAAAAAGTCAAGTGCACACCCCTAAATGGGATTTATGCTTAAGTAAATGCACAACCAATTGCAGCTTAAAATTATTATATTTTTCCACTAAGCCCCGGTCAACTACCCGAAGGACGCCCAGAGATAAGCTCTCGGCTTTTTTGGAAGGTTTTAAAGTTATTTTATCTCTCACAAGCTAGCTGTGCTCAGTATTAGCTTCCTTATAGCCTATGTGGGTTTTAACGAACTGTATTTAGCCCCGTCAGGTTACGCTTTCTACTCAGCGTCCAGCTTTTATCATGCTTTTTAACTCCTCTCCAGATAGTCTCTGAATAATATATCTGAACTTATCTGACTCCCCCTTCAGGAGGATAAATTATTCTCTTTTGTTAAGGAGGGAAGCGGAGACTGAGTGTTTTGATCGGAACCGATTAACTACCTTTGAGGAAGCTGTTTAAGTTTTTACATCCAGGATTTTTTTTCTAATTGGGCAAGCCCCATTTTAATTGGTTTATACTATGCCTTTGGGCAAACGTGGGAGAGGAAGAGAGGAAAACTGTCTATTGCCAGCTTCAAAACAGTTTAAAATCTGTGACTATTTTTGTGGCTCTGAGGGTGCTGACAATAACCTTAGTAAGAACGACACACCTACTTTTGCAGTGGAGACTTCAAACCGATTTTCTCTACTTGAGTCCAGCTGTGGTGATGATGAGGGAAAAACACACATGCTCTACCTGAAGAGCCTGGCCTGGAGGAACGAGCCAGGCAAGCAGGGTAGAGTCCACCCCAGAGCTGGGCGGATCACCTTGAATGAACCCAATGAACTCTTTACTAGCTTTAATTGCCAGAACTGTGGATCGTCTATTTGGCAGCATTCAAGAACTAAAAGCTCAAACTAAATTACTAACTGCTGCGGTGGCCAAGTTATCTCCCTGCGACCATCATGATCAAACTAAACCCCCAGTGGCTGCTACCTGTCAGCATGGTAAATCACATGCTCACAGTGAACTAAACGCAGGTAATGTGGACACTTATAAAGCCTCAAACAAAAATCCATTCCATCTTGTCTACCAATCAAGGAAAATTGCCTTAACGATCCAAGGGAGATACGGCTTCGTACCAAATTGGCTAAGCATTTCCCGTGCTAAGAGGCACCTCTCGGCTGTACTCAAAATTAAGTATTCAGAGATTGACCTCCACGAAGTTGACGTTCTCAACGCTCAATACCAGTTCCAAAGAATTATTCTTTCCTTTGCAACACATACATTTCCAGCTCTGCTTTTTAAGAGGAAACTGGAACTCTGCAAAATGGGAATTTTTACCACTCAGGTGTTCCTTAATTCTGTGGTTACTCCCTTACGTAGGCTAAGCCATCGACTACTACCTCCTACCAAGCTGAGGATCTTATGGATATTGAGACTACTCAACCTAACATAATTTCCTGGGAGGATTCGAGTGCCCATGGACCAAATGCTTGCTTCGATCCCAACCCTCTCTCCACACGAACCATCAGCCAGGACTGTTCATTTGGTTTGGATTTTAATAATTTTTTGGCCTCAGATCCTTCAACAAAGAATTTGGAAGAAGATATTCTCTCCTCTTTTGGAAACCTCTCAGATGATGTACAGCAGTCCGTTATTGATAGGCTAACCCCTTAAGCCACAAATTGCAAGAGATCAAGGACTCTGAGCCGCATTTATCCAACAACTCCAAGTGCTGCAGAAATGTTTTACATACAGCTGCTGTATCTGATCCACCTAAGGATTCACTGGCTTCTATAATGTCCAACCAAACTTCTCAGAGGGAGTGTGAAGACATTATTATTACATCTCGAAGCTGGGATCAGACGCCTAACGCTGAAACTCCCCCCACTGAAATAGTGGAAGAAACTGTACTAAAAGATCTGAATGAGCTGTGCAGCTGGAAACTCCCAAAGGTTACTCCATCTCATCCTATTTCTCAAGTCACAGCAAACGACTGTGTCTGCCCTGACAATATTCCATTCCTGAATTCAATCTCTGAAATGGATTGACTGCCTGCTAGTAGTAAGAACCTGAGAAATTCCAGGAGTCGGGACTCTTCACCTTATTTCTTGGAACATCGCTGGGTGAGCTAATAAATGGGGGGGCTCTGATCTAATGAATTTTTTAATTAACTTTCAACATGATTTTTTTCCAAGAAACTTGGTCTCCCAGCAATATTTCGATTAATGGATTTACTTCTTATTCTCTCCCTGCGGTGAGACCAAATCGGAAGGGGTGTTATATGGCAGGGCTTTGTGGGCTGTTTAACAATGCTTCTAAATTGTCTATTATGCAATTGGACTCTTGCCCCCCCCCCTTGCACAGGCGTTTCTTCTCCATCTCAGGGACTTCCAGCTGCTTACAGTTAATGTGTATATGCCCCCTTGGCGTGATAATAATTCCTTTAAATCCCAATGGAATTCTTTGAAAGATTATCTTAGTGTTTTTTTAACAAAATACCCTGAGGCCGCTTTTTTGGCAGTGGGGGATTTTAATGCTAGATTCGGTTGTAATAATAAACACCTTAGTAATATTTTCCATTGGGATGGGGAAGACCAAACCCCTTTCCCTTTCATTTTGCCTAGGCAGTCTAGAGACTCAGTTGTTAATCAGGCTGGTCACAGGCTGATAGACCTATGTATTCAAAATAACCTTTCTAAATGGTTCCTTTCAGTAAGATACACCTGGTAACTATACCTTTATTTCCCCCAGGGGATGCAGTGTTGTGGACTATGCAGTATCCTCTATGGATTTGAGAGACTCTATTACTGACTTTTCCGTTGGCTCCCGGACTGAAAGTGATCACCTTCCCATTCTATTGTCCCTTCAATCTGGTTGTGTTCTAGATAATCAGTGCCCACCTTGTAACTCTGAACTCATCTTATTCCAGCATAAGCTCCAAGCTAAAGAGCCCTAAGCGCCTTAACCGTTCCTCATAGGGAAAGTGTTCCAACCCTTTTATCATTCGAGTTGCTCTTTTCTGCACTTTTTCCAAAGCTATAATATCCTTTTTAAGGTGTGGTGACCAGAATTGCACACAGTATTCCAGATGAGGTCGCACCATTGATTTATATAGCGGCATTATGATATTGGCTGATCTGTTTACAATACCCTTCCTAATAATCCCCAGCATAGCATTGGCCTTCTTTATTGCAGTCACACACTGTCTCGACATTTTCAGTGAGTTATCTACTACAACTCCAAGATCTCTCTCTTGATCTGTCTCTGCCAGTTCAGACCCCATCAACGTGTATTTATAGTTAGGATTTTTGGCTCCAATGTGCATCACCTTGCACTTGGCCACATTGAACCCCATTTGCCATGTTGACGCCCACTCGCCCAACTTTGACAGATCCCTTTGGAGTGCCTCACAATCCTCACTGGTTTTCACCACCCTGAACAACTTCGTATCATCCGCAAATTTAGCCACTTCACTGCTTACTCCCAACTCCAAATCATTAATGAACAAGTTAAAAAGCAGTGGACCAAGTACTGATCCCTGTGGTACCCCACTGCTTACACCCCTCCACTGGGAGAACTGCCCATTTATACTCACTCTCTGTTTTCTATTAATTAGCCAGTTTTTGATCCATAAAAGGACTTGTCCTTTTATCCCATGATTTTTGAGCTTGCTTAGGAGCCTTTGATGAGGAACTTTATCAAAAGCTTTCTGGAAGTCAAGGTAAACAATATCTATTGGATCCCCCTTGTCCACATGTTTGTTCACCCCCTCAAAGAACATTAACAGGTTAGTGAGACAAGATCTTCCCTTACAGAACCCATGTTGAGTCTGCCTCAATAGGTTTTGTTCATCTATGTGCCTACTAATTCTTTCCTTAATAATGGTTTCCACCAATTTACCCGGTATCGACGTCAGACTGACAGGCCTGTAATTTCCCGGATCTCCTCTGGAACCCTTTTTAAAGATGGGAGTGACATTAGCTACCTTCCAGTCCTCAGGAATGGAGGCTGATTTTAAGGAGAGATTACATATTTTTGTCAGGAGATCCACAAGTTCACAATTGAGTTCTTTCAGAACTCTTGGATGTATGCCATCTGGGCCTGGTGATTTATCAGTTTTTAAGTTGTTTATCAGTTTTAGGACCTCCTCTCTCGTCACCTCAATCTGACTCAGGTCTTTCAACACCCCTCCCGAACTCAGCGGCTCTGGAGTGGGCAAGCACCTCTCATCTTCCACAGTGAAGACGGAGGCAAAAAATGCATTTAGCTTCTCAGCCATTTCCCTATCATCCTTCAGTACTCCTTTTACCCCTTGGTCATCCAAGGGCCCCACTGCCTCCCTGGCTGGTTTCCTGTTTCTAATGTATTTGAAGAAAGTTTTATTGTTGGTCTTTACATTTTTTGCTATATGCTCCTCATATTCCCTTTTTGCATGCCTGACCACAGACTTGCATTTTATTTGCCATAGCCTGTGTTCTGTTTTATCAGCCTCACTGTGACTAGCTTTCCACCGCTTAAAGGAATCCTTTTTACCTTTTACAGCTTCCATTACTTTGTTTGTTAACCATGTAGGCTTTTTCTTATACCTGTTTGTGCCTTTCCTAACCTGCGGAATATATTTTATTTGAGCTTCTAGAATTGTAGTTTTAAACAGTTTCCAAGCTTCCCCAATGGTTTTGACCCTTTCTACTTTTCCCTTCAGTTTCCTCCCCACATGTCCCCTCATATCAGAAAAATTACCCCTTTTAAAGTTAAAAGTGGTTGTGTGAGTCTTTTTGGCCAATTCCCTATTTGTACAAATGTTGAACTCAACAACATTATGATCACTGTTCCCAAGTGGTGCAATCACTTTTACATCTCTCACCAGGTCTTGAGTGTTACTTAGGACCAAATCAAGGATCGCCTCTCCCCTGGTAGGTTCCATGACCATCTGCTCCATAGCGCAGTCATTTAGAGTGTCTAGAAACTCAATCTCTTTCTCTCGACTAGAACACATATTGACCCAATCAATGTGTGGGTAGTTAAAATCACCTATTACGACACAGTGTTTTTGTCTAGCTGCTATCTTTAATTCATTCATCATTTTATAATCCTCCTCTATCTTTTGATCCGGTGGGCGATAACAAACTCCCAGTGTTAAGTTTCCTTTTGGCCCCCCTATTTCAACCCATAGAACTTCCAGAAGCGAATCCAATTCACTTAGCCTCTCAATAACAAGTTTCATAAGAATTTGGAACTTGGGCAGAGGTTCTCTACTCAATTTTATGTGAGTAGCACTAATGTTGCGAAACACACGGAAATATAAGCTGTCAAACACGTGACTCGTTTTCCCTTGTTAAAATATTATATATATTTACCTGCTGTTCCAAAGCAAATCTCTTCATCATTTTTTCCTCTGGACTTATTTTGGTGTCATATTCTCCAATCCGTTTGTCTTTAAACACACTAGATTTGTCCTTTTCTTTGTATTCTTTTAGCAATGTTTGCGTACGCTAAAAAACAACACAGGTTGAATCCAAAAGTGACATTCTGGCTGAATTAACAACAGTTATTCCCCCCCCCCCCAATATGTAAAACAAAGAAATCTGTTCCAGTTTATTTGAGGATCTACAGATGCGAAGTCTCGCTTCTGGCTTATCCCCTGAATTGAACTTTGTTGGTCTTGGAAGTGCCACTGGACTTAAACTTAGTTCTCACATCTGTTTGTTAACCCTTCTACTTGCATACTAATTTCCTGCCATTCACAGATCTTAAGGTAAAGGTCTCCCTTGCTCGAAAGCCATTCGAATCCGACTCTAGGGTTGCGGTGCTCATCTCCGTTTCAAAGCCGAAGAGCCAGCGCTGTCCGAAGACGTTTCCATGGTCATGTGGCCGGCGTGACTAAACACCAAGGCGCACGGAACACTGTTACCTTCCCACCGAAGTGGTACCTATTTATCTCCTTGCAATTTCTTGCTTTTGAACTGCTAGGTTGGCAGGAGCTGGAACTAGAGACGGGAGCTCACTCCGTCATGCGGCACACTTGGGTCTCGAACTGCTGAACTACCGACCTTCCACAGCCTACAGTTCAGCGTCTTAACCCCTTGAGCCACTGCAGATCTTACCAACTGCTTTAATCCAATCTCAGCTATACTTATTGCCCAGTTACTAACACAACTTGACTGCAACTAACCCCACCCGCCTCCTCCTCCTCTCCCGCCCCCCACGTGGAAGGTTTGAGGCAGTCTTGTTCCAAATGTATCCGAGGAAGTGTGCCTATGCCCAGGAAAGCTGACACCCAGGATTCAACTTCGCTGGTCTTCAAGGTGCCTCCGGACTCCAGCTTTGCTCTATTGCTTCCGACCAACACGGAGTCGCCTTCGAATGCCTTCCTGGGCGTCTGTTTCCCCACCAGCCCCCAGGTGTCCACAGAGCACGCCCCGCAACGCCTGGAGCTCGCGGCCCACCCAGAGCGAGAGAGACACCCCGGGTGGGGGCGGGGGGAGGCCCCCTTCCTCTGGCGCGCCGGGCACCCAGGAGCGGCGCTCTGCACACGCCCAGGAGCTCCGAGGAGCGAGAGAAGGGCTCACCTTCCTGTGGGCCTTGGAGCGGGAGACGCCCGGCAGCCCCACGTCGTGCTTCGTTTTCCGGCCCAGGATGCGGAACTTCTGCTTGTTCACCTTCACCTCGAAGGGGTTGCCGCGCACCGACCCAGCGGCCGGGCCCGGGCCGCGTCCGAAGGCCCCCGGGCCGCTCTTCTTGCCCCGCGCCGGCTTCCCCATGGCCACACGCGCGCCGCCCGGACCCGGAAGCAGGAGGAGCCACCCGCCAGTCTCGCGGGAGGACGTCACCACCCGCCCGGCCGGACCATAGAGACGGGGGAGCCGGATTGCAGAGTGGCCTCATAACAACGAGGCATGCGCAAGTGCGGCCCGATTCCACGATGGGTTGCCCAGGGTCCCGCCTCAGTCTCCGGCCTCGGCTGCCCTCCCTTCACACCAGAGTGGCAGCTGTGGAGACGAGGGCACGGAGGCCGGACGGCGGCTGAGAGGGGCCTTTGCGGAGGTGGAGCCAGGAAGGTGGCCCAGCCCCCAGGAGGGGGCGGGGAGAGTAGAGGCCCCATCTCGGCTCAGGGACTGGTCGGCTGCGGGAAGGGGGCGGGTTTTTCCCCAGGTCCCCTTTTCCGATTGGTCCGCGCGCCGGCCGTCGTCTGAGTCCCCCGTGCGGTTGGCCGCTCAGCGGGGCGGGGCAGAGGCCGCCCCCCGAGGATGACGGGAAGTCCCCAAGATGGCGGCGGGCCAGTGGCGGAGTGAGAGCGCCGCGTCCCCACGCCTCGCCCCGGCCGCCTGTCAGTGACGCGCGGCTGCTGCCCGAGACGGGGCGGCGGGAGGCGCCTTTCGTGTCCCCCTCCCCCGCGCGATGGCCACCATGGAGAAGCTGATGAAGGCCTTCGAGTCCCTCCGCTCCTTCCAGCAGCAGCAGAGCCCCGCCGCCGCCCCCGCCGCTTCGGCCGCCGCCCCCGAGGAGCCGCCGCCCCCGCCCCCCCAGAGGCCGTGAGTCTCGCTTGTTGCGCTGCGGCGGGACCCGAGCGGAGGAAGCCCCGGAGTGGGGGGAGCCGTCGGCGCCGGGCGTGTTAACGGCCTCCT